AAAAAACTTTGGCCCCCTTTTAAACCGGTGCCATTCACGCCAAATTCACGTGTCTAGCGCTTTACTGAAACGACTTAATGCCTTTCTGAGCAGCTTTTGGAAATGAATTTTTTGAATGACTTCTCGCGACTCAGAAAAATCGAAATACACTTTTCTATACCCGCTAGCATCCACTAATTCCGAAAGTAATATTCGGAAGATTCGGTGACCTCCTGCACCTAAGATATTGCGTGTTTTCTAAAAGCGGATATTTTTCGAAAAAACGAGGCCTTAGTATTTTTTTCGAGGAAAACGCGCAGTGAAAATTTGTTAACGTAATTAGCGTAAAATTCTGCATCGAATGAGGTGTATTTGAGACAAAAATAATATCTTACTCGATCTTTGAATTAGCGGAACTTCTTAACTGATTAAAAGAGATACATTGTAAAATATGGATTTGTACCTCTTTTGAGACGTAGCTAACTGTCAATATAAGTGTTTGTTTGTTTCACTTGAAAAATTGCAGTTAAACACAAAGAAACGTCACACTGTTGTGAAAATGAGAGCAATAAACGAAGAGAACATTCATCATATCACCGACAAAAAATTAAAGTTCATTTAGCGTTAAAGAAAAGTTCTGTTTCGTATTCAGCACACTCGATAACCTCGAAAATTTTCTATTTTTAGCGAGGGGTACCACCAAAAAGTTGAGAAAAATTTTCAAAATTGTATAATTTTGCCATGGAGATTTTTCTGCGTCAATTTGTTTGAAAATTTTTCTGAACGTTTTGGCGGTATCCTTCGCTAAAAATAGAAAATTTTCCAGGTTATCGAGTGTGCTGAATACGAAGAAGCACTTTTCTTTAACTCTAAACAAACTTTAATTTTTTTTATCGGTGATATGTTCACTTGTAAAAGCCCGAAAATGATGCAGCGTCAAGTTCTTAGCGAGAAGAAGTACAGTTTCCTTCATATGCGTAATTGTATGTGCAAGAAAAACGGTTTCATGTATGAAAGTATACAGCAATATTCTTAATATTTGATATGGTGAAAGAGTCAAAAGGGCGTGTTTATTTTATTCTTTCATTTTTATCTATAAATGTGTTATCATTTTTATTTCTACTACTATATTAATTTAAACAGGTAACATTAATGATTATTCATTTCTAGAATAAACAACTCGTACCTAACAAAACACTCGTTTGATTTAAAAAATGGAGATACATGAACACGCTGAAAACGGGTATGCAAAAGTTGCCAACGCTTACGATAGAGGCCGACCGGGTTATCCTATTGAAGTGGCCAATTTCTTATGCTCACTGCAAACGAATATATTGGACAAGACTGTCCTCGACTTAGGAGCAGGTAAACTGTCGAATATAATTTCTTTGATTGAGGCTGCATAAAGCTGAATTTTTCTTTTAGGTACAGGAAAGTTTACTAGTTTATTATCAACAATTGGAGCAGAAAAGATCATAGCCATAGAACCAGTTGAAAGTATGAGAGATAAATTATTCTTAATTCGTGATATTGCAGTGATGGAAGGTACAGCTGAAAATATTCCACTTGATGACAATAGCGTTGATATTGTCACTTGCGCACAAGCATTCCATTGGTTCGATGGACCAACAGCCCTTAAAGAAATCAGGCGTGTTTTGAAACCAAATGGACTACTATTTCTTGTATGGAATGTAAGAAACGATGATAAATATCCATGGTTACAGCAAATGGCTCATATATATGAGAGGCGAATGCCATCAACGGCTTCACCACGATATAAACATATGGAATGGAAAAAATTGTTCGAAATCGACAATGGTTTCTCTGCCTTAGAACATCGACAGTTTTCAAACGATCAGTGTGGTACAATGGATTCACAAATAGACTGCATGTTATCTGTTAGCTATATAGCAGTTTTACCAGATGAAGAACATAAAATTATTGCAGATAAAATTCGGGTATTTCTGCAAAATGAACCAGAAATAAAGGAGAAAAGTTTATTTGTAATACCGTACTGCACTGACGTTTACTGGTGTACATCTTTAAAGAAGTCAGAATCAGAACATGAACAGTAGGTTCTACTTTAGAATAAAAACAATCAAATGGTTACTCTTAAGAGAAATCTTTTTGAAAATAAAACGGTATAAGTGATTATGAAACAGTCAGTCTATTCATATCAGAAAACCAAAAGGATAAGGCTGATGGCAAAGTTTGTGAACTGAAAGTATTGCAGACTATTAGTATTATACGATTGTATCTACTTTACAGTGAGCAACGATGCGAATATTTGACGGAAAAATGAAAAAGGATAGTTTCGTCTTGAGATAGTACGTAATAATCTTCGTATAGTCACTGATTTGAGCCCAGCAGATTATGACTTTTTGACAACCTGTAATGTAACCTATATAAATCTTCACAACCTAAACCTAACCTATTAGTATTTTTCGCAATCTAGCCTAAGTTAACCTAATATAATCTATACAATTTTTTCCCAGAACTTGGTTTCAGAACCCTAAACTTCAGTTTTCGTTATTGTTTTATCTGAACAACGTCTGATAGAAAAGGTTATACAAAAATAAATCACATTATAAATGAATATAGAAATGAACTGATTGAATCTTCTATTCTTTAATACAACGTTTGGAAAATAGCTGTCTGTAAGAAGAGGAAGAATACCTAGCCTTGCGGCTAGCGTTATCGATGTAGGGTACTGCCGTAGCAGTTTCAGAAGCCCGATATCTTTCCTGCACTTGAAAAACTTCTAAAATGATCATCCATCTCGTTACTCGTTATCAATTGCAGCTCTGACAATTACTTGACCCACTACGTTTTGTTACTAAAATTATTGGCGATTTCGATGTGGTCGTTCGAAAGCGGTTTTTTTCGTTTAGGCTAGAAATAAATTATCAGTACCGTAGCCTACAACCTAACCTATAAAAAATTTCATAACCTAATCCTAATCTAGCCTACAGATTGGGTTAGGTTTAATCTGCAGGACCCTATCACCGATAAATCGGGGTATGCGAACAACGTTTTTACCGTCTGTTGAATATTCGGCTTCTGAGAAAATCGCCGATATATCCCAAGTTATCGGTGATTATAGACAGAACGGCATTTAATTATTGATTTTGACGAAAAAACATTTGTACTTTCAATGACTTTTTGTGATTGTCTACAGAACAATTCATGAAAAACGCAGGTAACGCATAGGCATTTTTTAAAGTTCGAACGAATGTATCTCTAGAACGATAAGAGAGAGAGAGACTTCAAATTTTTAACAAATATGTGGGTAAACAAACTCTATTAAGTTTCCATCAAAGTTTGCATCAAAGGCCAATGACAAGTCTAATTTCCCTATATCTCGCTCGTCCCTTAACGTCATTGGAAAAAACAACTTCAATTATTATAAAACGTCCATTATAAAACTGGTAAGTAAGAGGTAAGTTTTCCTAGAGTCGAGCAGTTTCAGAATAGAGTGTGCCTGTGCACTTCTATACACTGCAACGAACGTTTTTTTATTGATATCTGGACGTAAATCAAAGAGAAAAGATCTGGTTTGCTTTTGAACGAAGTTTAAATTGCAAAACTGCTGCTTTTTTGAGACAATCACTCTCTGTTGTTCGATAATAATCGCCTTCTCAGAATTAAACTCATTTTTGTTTGCATTTTTCTGGTAGAAATATCAAAAATAGAAAGACACATTTGACTGTTATTTCTTGTATCATATACTATCACAATTTGTTTGTTTAATTGTTCATGTATATTAATCTTACTTGTTGTTATTATGTTAATACATAAAGCATGGAACTCTTTTGGGCAATGCATATGGCTAGTTTTTTCATTTTACTTGCTATATATGTTCAATTCTTTCGTTTGTCTACATCTAATTTGTATAATATACGAAAAAAGTAATTTTTTTCGTTTTGAATGCATTGTCATCTTATCGCTCTTTCAGTTGTTCTTCTTTGATATTGTTTTGTTTACTGTTGTTGTTGCTTAAACAAAAAGCGTTATTTTTTCCGAAAAAATACGGATCTGGAAGGCGTGATCCATCTGCCCATTAGTTGTTTAGATTTAAATTAAACAAATTAAAGTGTCAATAATTCGAAGTTGTGGCCCTGTTTTATTTTTGGCTTTAGAGCTTCGCGAGTATCTCAGTTCTAATCTTCGCAAGTGGTGTTTTCGATGAGAAATTTTGAAAATACAGAAGAAAGATCTTGAAAACCGGTTTCGCAAAATTCAGATCTTTTCTTTTAATTTCATTTCGAAGCTCTCTAACATTGTTTTCCTGGTTCAGCATATCAAACTGCCTATAGCAATGTTAATTGGAGCCTTATCTCATATTACGTGGCTGAGAAAACATTTCACTGACAAATTTTGCGAACCTATCTAGTTCTTTCTCTTAAGTTGGAACCTTCATTTCTACCACCTTCGATACGTCTTTGTACAGGCAAAAAAGATGCATGGCTTTTTCGAAATTCCTTTTCGTTGCTAAGAAAATACTTTTTTTCTTGGTCAAACTCTGAATAACATTTCTATTACTGACGCCAAAATATAGCGGCGGTGGTTGTTTTTTGAATAGCTCAAAGACGATAAAAGATAGAGATTTGGTATTTTCGGCAATCAAAAGAAGACGGTTTTGCCTATGTTATCGTAAGCAAAATCCTTTTCAAAAAATATTCAAAAGATCGGTTTTGTAAGAGGTCTTGGAGAAATCAGTTTTGGTCTCCGGATACTGAGATAGCAATCTAACAGTTTCTCTTCACAGGTATATAGCCCAAAATGGGAACCAAGCGAAGTTCCTAGTTCGGGTGTGGCATCGAAGTTTTTGAGAGTCCCAGGATCAATATTTCTTTAGGTGTAGCAATTCCGAAAACAAATGGAAACATAGATAATCAACCATGCTGAATCTCGTGAAAACATTTATTTTTCAAAAAAGTTTCAAAAATCTAGTGAAAACCTGTATTTTGGGTTAATAACCTATCAAACAAAAATGCGAATGAGCTCAAGAGATAGACTATTAAATGAGAAAAGCGTGTCATTTCACTCTATACAAAATTTAACTTTTTTAAATTTGGAAAAATGAATGTTTTTATTTCGTTTTCGAATTCATGCGTTATACAATTTTCGCAGTCATAAATTTTTAATTTTCCAATCGGTTTACGTATTAAATGCGAACGCGCATTATCAAGTTTCAAGTGACCTTTAAAGTCAAAAATACAATTATAATGTAGACTAAGATGTGTAATATTTAGCGTGAACAATAGCAGACGTTGAAAAGAAGAATAATATGTCATTGTATCACTAACAAAGGGTTTTCACGATTTAATGTTATTAAATTCCTATGATCATTCTCATCATCAGACAATGTAGTCATTACATTGTTTGATGATGACTACGTTGTAGCGTGAGAGGGTTTGGCTGCTTCAACTGTTAATGAATTTAAATATGGATATTTTGTTCGGAATGGCTATTGACACCACTAAGAGGTGTCAGCAGGAGCTATTAAAACCTAATGGAGGTGTCAGCAATGGCTATTGACACCTCCAAATAGTATGTAGACTGTGCGAGAAGTGTATTTCATATAATGACGTGAATGCACTTCAGATATACGTGAACTTCGGTGAAATTCATTGGATGAAACTTTAACAATCCTTATGCTACGCTGGATAAATATTCATGTAGACTGGCGACATCATCGAATATCTGTGTAACTGCTTCGTTTAATAAAAAAAGATTAATTTGTCTCATTCGGTTCGTTTTGGCTATCTCTTCGTGCAGATCAATCAAAATCAAAAGCTCTGCAAACTTTTACAAGCAAATCTAACCGTAAAAACGGGCGAAAGTGTACCTTACCGGTGCTAGCTTTATTTCATGCACTGGAGGTTGGAGGTGTCAACAGCTCTTGGTGACACTTCTGATGGTGGTGTCAATAGCCCTTGTTGACACCTCCAGTAGGTGTCAATAGCTCCTGCTGACACCCCTGGTGGCGTCAATAGCCCTTGTTGACACCTCGTACTGGTGTCAATAGACTCACCCTATGTTGTTTTCAAAAATTAAAATCGTTATAAATGTAAGGGATTTTGAAACTCATGACGTGATAAAGTAATATGTTCCATTTTTCTAAAGACTAGATCATTAATATCTATAATTCCTAAAAATGAAATAACAATAACTGGAAATAAAGACATTTAAATATACATGAGAAAAATAGCTCTGGCGGCCTTTATAAAGTTCGACGGTTGACGAGCTGAATCAGCATCACTGTTCGATGCGGTTTTAGATGCTTTTTTCAATGAAACTTTGCTCGAAACTATTCGACGCAAGTTAACATGAAATAATTAAAAATACTATAGATGACGCATTTTCATGGATCATTGAAATGCCATACTTTATAAATACTTATAACTCAGTCAATATAAGGTTTGAGAGGCTAAAAACTTTCTCATTAATGCGTAGAATCGAACAAGAGTATAAAAAGTACACGTTAATTCTTTTTTTCATGTTATAGTCTTATTATCTGATGATCGATACTCTCATGCATGTTCTCTTTAAGCCAAAACGTCAGGAACGTAAATGGTGATGTAATACGATTTTCATGTGATGTATAGGCACTAGGAAAGTGTAATTTAGCACAGAATTCCGAATTTTTCGGTCTTCACCTTCCGTTCATACGCAGCTATAGGAGGAACTTCACAACAAACGGAGTTTTTCATATGAAAAAGGTAACCTTTTATAAGCAGTTTTTCTTTTTGATTTTTACAAAGTCACTTTACTGCCTGAATATTTCCACTGATTCTCTCCTCATCCGTTTTCCATTAAAAAACGTTCCAAATGAACTATTTGTATCTTGTGAAAAAAACTAAAATTATCAAACTATATTTAATTTTGTTTTATCAAACTAACATGAAAATCTGTTACATACTTTTTTGTTCTCATATCATAGCCTTGCATGATTTTCCGATACAACACAACTATAAAGTAGTCCATTAGTTTCGTTTATTTCATTCGAATGTATTGCTCTGCCAATGAGAAGGGATTGATGTAATAGAATTTCGCGAATATCAGGCAAGTC